GGCACTACGTGTGTCCCCTGTGCGGGGCCACGGGTGACCAGGCCCACACGCTCAAGTACTGCTCGCTCAACGGGGGCTATCAGTCTCTCTACCGCCGCAGTGGGCGCAATTCGGCCGGCCGCAAGGTCAAACGCTGAGGACCATGAGGTGCTCAGCCCCTGTACCCCCAGCCCTCCTGATTCAGTCCTACCAAGTCCCTGGACTCACCCCACCTCCCGTGGACTCACCCAGCCCTTTGGAATGTCTGACCTCCAGAGCTCCATCCCTGCTGGATCCTGAAACAATGGAGGCTATGGAGAGCCAGGCCAGCCCTGCCCCTTGGACCTCTCAGCCCTAAGGGTTCTGTCCTGGAGATATCCGTGGATTCTGGGTGCAGCAGGACCCTGGCCCCTTGGACTGCACAGCCCTGTGGCTCCTTCTGGGCCACGGTTCATGGATCTTTAGTCCTTCTGGGCCACCAGCCCTGCCCCTTTGACTTCTTAGCCCCTGGGGTTCCATTCCTTTTGGAATTCTTGGACCCTTGGACCTACAGGACCCCATTGAGCTCTCCCAGTCTGCCCCTCAGAATGTGGAGAGAGGGAACAGGCTGGCTTGGATCTTCCAGCCCACGAACTTCAAGATGGGATCCTGACTTCAACCCGCCTTCTCCACCTTCTTCAGCCACTGGCAGATCCACCGTTTCATCGTGGACGGCACCGGATGGGTCCTGCCCTGCCCTCAACAGCCCATCCATCAGGAGCTGGAGGGAGGAGGGGCCACAGCAGCGGGGCGCCATGTCTTTGCAGGCTTATCGGGGGTGGAGGGCTTTGGGGTGAGCCGACAGCCAATACCCTTGACATCCCCCTGGTTGTTCTTCCCATGTTCATTTCATTCCGTTTCACTGCGCTCCTGCCCCCAACGGCAAATCACCGTTGGGTCCTTTCCCCAGTGGAAGGCGTCTCTCTGCCACCTCCCACCCACCCGCAAGTTGTGATAGTTTTGTAAAGTTCCTTTGTTTCCTCCTGCAACAGTAAAGTTCACGAAGCTCCCACAGGAAAAGTGGGTTTTGTGCCCGGATGGGCATGGCGACTGCCTAGATTTTATTTTAGGGGCAAAAAAGAGCCCCGAGTCAGATTTTAAGTTGTTTGGTTTTTGGCCCAGGGCTGGACCCGGGTGTTGAGCTCTAGTGAATAAAGAGCGTTACTGGCTGACTTTGAAATCCCTATGTCTGTTTCCTCAGAGGCTGGGGGAGGGGGAACCCGTATTTGCCCCAAAACATAGGAATCGGGAAGTGGAGCAGGAAGGAGTCCTTGGTCCCTCCCATGAACGTGGCCCCCCACATCCTCGGACACAGGTCAACTGTAGACTGGACCCCAACACCCAACCTTCACCTTGACCGCAGATTCCCTTTCTGCATCCTTCTTCGGGCTCTGTCCAGGGTCCCCTCCCACCCTGCTAGAGCCCAGGTCTTCCGGGACCACCTTGACAGTTGTTCTTAAACTCTGGGCTCCTGGACCCCACTGGAGAGGTGACAGAGCCTGTGGTCCCCCGCCCTGGGGAAGTGCGCAGGCGCACAACGTGCTGCGCGTGCTAAGTACCAGGGCTTCTGTTGTTCCATCGCTCCACGTGTGCTTGCTGAGCTCCTGCTTTATTCCAGGCGCTGTTCTGGGCATCGGCAGGCATCGCAGTGAGCAAAGCAGACAAGACCCTTGTCCTCATGAAGGTGACATTCTAGGTGGGAAGAGGGTGCCGTGACAACCACTGAATAAACAGAGACTATCATGTCAGGTGGGTGATAAGTGCTGTGAAGGAAAAGGGGGCAGAGTGGAAGGATGAGGAGGGGAGGAGAGGCTGTTTTATACAGGGTGGTCAGAGGAGGCCTTTCTGTGGGGGTGACTCTTGAGCAGAGTCCAAATACATTGAGGAAACCAGGAGAAGGGTGTTCCAGGCAGGGGAAATGGTGCGTTCAAAGGCCCTGAGGTGGGATTGGCTCTGGTGTGTTTGCAGAATAAGCAGGAGGCCGGCTGAGTAAGAGATAAGATCATGCTCCTTACCCCATCCACATAGTCGTCATGGAAATGTGTGTGTGTGTGTGTGTGTGTGTGTGTGTGTGTGTGGTGGGATGCTGCAGGCTATCGTAG